CCCGCTGGTTCAATGCGGCCCTCTCGGCGCGGGCACTTTCCAGATTGCGACGCGCTTGTTCCTCTTGCGCAGCTTCGCGGAGGGACGCGCTCTCCGCTAGCCTCTGTGCTGCGGCCTCGGCCTCCTCGAGGGCTCGCTCCCGCTCGGTGAGCGTATCCTCGCGGAGGCGGAGTGCGGACTCTTCTTCGGCACAGGCAGCTTCGTGCACCGCCAGTGTGACCTCCCGAATAGCAACGGCGGCCTCGCGGTCCGCCAGGTCCCTCTCCACGACGCAGGCACGCTCTTCCAGCGCCATGGCACGGGCCTCAAGGGTTTCTTCGCGCCGCCGGGATGCCACCTCGGTCTCCGCCGCCCGCCGTTCTCGGGCAGCGGCAGCATCAAGGACCCCCCGGGCGGCATTGAGCTTCTTCCCTAGCTCCGCCTCCCAGCTCCCGTATTGAAGGCGGAGGTCGTCTTGCGCCTCGTTCATCACGGTAGTAGCGATGAGGGCAGCCCCCCTCTCCTCCTCCACCTCCCTGGCGATCTCCCCCAGCATCTTCCGACGGGCTTCGAGCTCTGAGACGTGCCGGCGGTGTGCCTTGCGGCCCACCTCCACCATGGCCTCCACCGAGCGACGCCCCTCTTCGACACGTGCCCATGCGGCGTCGAGCTCCACCCGCTCTGCTTGCAAGGCCTCCATCTGGGCACTTAACCCGTCCAACACCGTGGTGTTAGCAACGGCCAAGGCCTGCAGAAGAGGCTCTGCGCTCAGTGGGGCAGCAGAAGGCGTGGGGGAGAGCCGCCTCGGTGAGGATGCCGCGCGGCTCGGCCCGCCGATGGACGTGCCGGACTCAGGGATGTCCCCCGGACCTGGCTTGTCCTGAGCGTCGCCCGAGGGAGTGGGCCCAAGCGATGCGCCCGCGGCCTCGTCGCGAGCTGCCTCGGAAGTCGTCGCCGCCTCGGCCTGGCGAAGTTTGGCCTCCTCCCGAGCGGCTTCTTCAGCTTGGCGAGCTCGGATGGCCACCTGGGCGGCCTCCTCGGCTTCCCGTAGGCGATCCGCGGCTTCTCGCCGGTCAGATTCCCGCCTCCGAGCCTCCGTGGTCGCCGCATTCTCGGCCTCAGATTGGCCGGACTTGAATTGGCAAGAAGGACGCGACGGGATCTCGCTGAAGCAGAAGAAAAGCCAGAAGACAAACAAGATGGGTGAATGAAAACTTGTGTTGGAAGAATGAATATAGCCACAATGGGCGTGGGACGAACCTGCGAGGGGGTCGGTTAAACGACCACCTTGGAGGGGAAATGAGGTTTCCCCGGGATGGTTCTGTCCCCCCATCTTGCGGAGCCGTTTCTTCTTCCGCTCCCCCTCGGGCTGCGGCGTCGGCGCGGCCCCCTCCGGGCGCCTGCTGCTGACACGTGCCGCCCCGCCCCCTCGGGGAGGAGATGGGGAGGAAGTACCCTCTTGCTTTCTCTTCCCTCGGGCGTCGGCAGGGCGGCTGCCCCCCGAGCCCCCATCACGGGGACCGGAAGCACAACCCCCTCCTGGGGTAGATTGATCTCCCTTGCGGCTCCCGCTCGCACTGTCATGGCCCTTAGGAGCTCGTTCCTCTGAGGCCCCGACCGCCATCATGATGGACAGGATGTTGGCGCGATCTGGATCGCTGCAGAGGGGGAGGACTCCTTGGGGGATGAGGGATGCCTCCGCGGAGCTGAGATTCAGCACCCGTTGGATCATTACCTTGAAGTCTTCGGGGACCCAGTCCCATTTGACCCCCCGGTGGGTCCTCATACAGTCCTCGGACCCGGTGTACTCCCAGGCGCCCCGGGCGCGCCGCTGGAGTGGCGCGATCCGGCGACGAAGATAGTCACCGAACACCATGGCCCCTGTGAGCCCCTGGGATCGCAGGCCCGCCAGGCGGTCGAGGACGGCGTCGTAGCCATCTCCCAGATCTACCGGCGCCCGCCAGTTGGAGGCCTGCGCTGGAGGCTGGCTCGGAAGTCGGAGGCGCGCTTCGTCGGCGAGGGGGGTGTAGAACCAGTCGCTCTTCCAGTCATCCCACTTCTTGCGGAGGACGCAGGGAATGTAGCGGTTCAGCACCGGCCCCCGCGGCTGGAAGTAGCAACCACCAACCACCGATGGCGGCGACACCGGCTGTACGGTGAAGAACCACCGGAACAGCCGAAGGGATGGGCGCACCCCGATGAACATCTCGCACAGGTGCGCGAAGATGGCCAATGTCATTACCGCGTTGGGGGTGAGGTGCGCCATCTGGAGATCGTAAAACTCCAGAACATCCATGAAGAAAGAAGAAAATGGCGGAACCAGCCCTGCCATAGCAAAAGGGAGGAAGAAGACGGACCGCCCCGGGTAGCGTGGTGCCGGGCATCCCTCGCCCAGCGAGACTATCTCCCGGCCGGTGGCAAATTCCGGCATGAAGCGGCGCGGCAGCCCGGCCTGTCTCTCGCTCACGATGCGGGAAGGCGGCAGCACGCTACCGTCAAGCGGAGCGGAGCCCCGTGCCATGACGCCGGAAGAAGAGATGTTTGAGAGCGAGCGCGTGTGGCGAAGGTAGGGCACAGGAAACAAGGAGTTAGGGCGCAAGCGGCGAAGACAAGGGGAATAATGGCGAGAGGAAGGAAGCAAATCTCTTCCTCGGCGACTTTATACCCTTGCCAACGCTGTGCCCGGCTCCTCGTTTCTCGCGCCCACTATCTTGCCCCCTCGTTTCTCGCGCCCACGCTTCCACTAATCCCATTCGCCCGTTTGCGGTGCATGAGGTGGATATGCGGCTGTGGCAGTCGAGATGGAACATATCGTGCGCGCGTTAATTACGCTCGCCGACCGAAGCGCCATCACCATATCTCCAGGAAAAATGAACCGGCTTGTCCCGATTTTTAGACCGGCCCCACCTGTCACCAGGCCTTAGGAAGTGGCGTCACGCCCGACCGCTTCCCTCGAGGAGGGCGATCGCCCTGGCATAACGCCGGGGGCTACTGTCGGTGACATGGGACCGGGAGTATCATGACTTAGAGACTTGAGGCAGACACGATCACCCACGTGGCCTAACCCCCTCGGGGGGGGGGTCGGGCCCGAGGGTGATACGGCCGCCCTTCTCTTTGTCTCCCCGAGGGGTCGGACCGCTCCCGTCTCGGCCCCGAGGGCCGAGGCGCCCCGACCCCTTGTGGGTTTTGCGCCGCGTATATGGGGTAGGTGAGCATAGCGGGGCTCACCTAACCGCATTTATTGCGGTTTGGACGAGCGCGTCACGCCACATGTAGCGCAGTATGACACGCTCATTTATCCGGTCTGTGACCGGTCACAGATCGGTCAGATTGCGGGTTAGGAGGCAACAGGCGATCTGACACACGCCTCGCCCCGTCCCGTCAGGATGAGAGTCTCTAGGCACTCGTCCCTAGCCGGAGCCAGCGTGCTAGCTCCTGGAGATGGCACGTTGGTCCTGGTCAGATATATGCTAGGCTTTATCCCAACCATTATAAGCAAGACGTTGTATGAAGAAGGGCGAACATGCAGATTGCTAAACTGACACGTGGTGGACAAAGGTGACCGGTCTGTGACTGGTCTGACACTGGTTATGTCGCCGGAAGACAACCGTGTTCCCACGTTGCACCTGCTTCCGGCGGAGTGGAGGTAGGTATGGGCCGTCCCATCAGAAGGGTCACTCGGGCAGCAGCCGTTGCAAATCTCCGCCCATTTATGAAGGGATGACAGGGTGATCCCCGAGGTCAGACGAACGAGGACGCGTGGCCACACTCAAAAACAGGTAGTGTTTCAGCTTCCAAGAGAAGGCAAGCCAAGTTTTACTATAGATAGGATGGGCCCCCACCCAAAAAGAGAGAGGGAGAAGTGGTGCATGTGGTATCCCCTTGAGATATAAAAGGAGGACCTTGCCCACTTAAGAGGAGAGGCTGGAAGGGGGGATGATCTGGAGAGGAGATCCCACGAGAAAAAAAAAAAAGGAGAAGAGGGTTTTTAGAATAAGAGCTCTCTGGCTCTCCAGCTCTTGGTAGCTTCTTCATACACAGATCCACCAGAACACAGGAGCAGGGTATTACGCTTCTCAGCGGCCCGAACCTGTATACATCGCCCGTGTCTTGTGCTTTTTCCATTCTCGCGAACTTTCCACAGACTAGGAGCTTAGAATCTCACCCAGGGCCCCCGGCTGAACCGACAAAGGGGGGCCTGCGCGGTCTCCCGGTGAGGAGCCCCACGCTCCGTCACACATATTTCGTCATTTAAGTTTTTTCTTTCTATGGTTGGTTCTTATATGTTTCTAAATGTGAAAAAAAAATTGTTGGACATCTCTTCCCTCTACACTATAGAGGAGAAGAGAGGAAAAATGATGGGGGAGGGGGGGCGCCACCCGCCCTCCCCCACCACTTTAGCACCGTCCCACCACGTCGGCAGGAGGACGGCGCTAGAGTGGCTGGCGCTGTCCAGTTGGATCACGGCGCCAGCCATTCTGACGCCAAAAAGGACCATTTTAAGTTTTTTTAGGTCTATTTACGAAATAAGTTTTTTAAAAGGACTAAATTATGAAAAATCCAGGCACGCCTGCACTGTGTCTCCGTGCAAGGCAGCGCGCGCGGCAGAAAGCGGGCGAAACCCGCGGAAATATTCGCGGCTCGGCTTCGCGCTGCGCTGCTGGGCGTCTGGGCGGGGCACGGCGAAATGTTGCATACGCCGCGCGCGCGCGCGCGAGCCGCGAGACAAGGCGCGAGCGGCGGGCGACCGAATGCCCCCACTGCCCACACTTTCCTTGCTTACGGCAGGCGAACCTTGTGCGCGCGCACGCACGCACAGCTGCACACCGACACTTGTTGCTGCTGGCCCCTCTCCACGGCTCCACCCGCCAGCCTGTGCCGCCGCTGCACGCTGCCCCCACCAACCACGGACTCTGCGTCGTCTTCTCCTCTCCTTCCTCGTCTCGCGGTCTCGCCTCGGCCTCGCATCCACTATTCCACTTCGACAACCCTTCTCACTCTCTCTCTCTTCACTTATAAGCAAGCTCACACACACCTCACTCTCTCTCTCTCTCTCTCTCTCTCTCTCTTCCGTTGGAGTAAAAAAGGAGGGGAAAGTGAGAAAAAGAGGAGAAAAGCTCACACCACCCACCTCCTCCATTACTAGTTTACTTCTCTTCTCCTCCTTTCTCCCCCATTCCCCCAATTCATTCCTTCGCCGAACCACCAGAGTGGTGGAGAGTAGCTAGCAGAGTAGCAGAGCGGTGGGAGCAGCAGCAGCCGTAGCCGCATCCGGAGAGATTCGGGCAGGAGAAGCCGCCGCAGCGATGGGCGCGCCGGTGCGCGGCGCCCTCGTCTTCTTGCTTCTTCTCGCCGGCGCGGCCGCGGAGACGGCGCCGGAGGAACCCACATTGCCCTCCGCCGCCGCCGATGGGGCGGCTAGTAGCGGGACAACATCTGGCGCTGGTGCTGGAACGGGAATCAACTCGAACTCGGTGCTGGTGGCGCTGCTGGACTCGCATTACACGGAGCTGGCGGAGCTGGTGGAGAAGGCCCTGCTGCTCCAGACGCTGGAGGACGCCGTCGGCAAGCACAACGTCACCATCTTCGCGCCGCGGAACGAGGCGCTGGAGCGTGACCTCGACCCGGAGTTCAAGCGCTTCCTGCTCGAGCCGAGGAACCTCAAGTCGCTCCAGTCGCTGCTCCTCTTCCACGTCCTCCCCGCCCGCCTCCCCTCCGGGTCCTGGTCCGCCGTCTCCCACCCCACGCTCTCCGGCGAGGAGGTTGAGCTCGCCGCCGCCGCCAACGACGGCGCGATGCGCGTCGCCCACGCCGCCGTCACCCGCCCGGACGCCGTGCTCAGGCCGGACGGTGTCATCCACGGGATCGAGCGCCTCCTCGTGCCGCGCTCTGTCCAGGAGGACTTCAACCGCCGCCGCAGCCTCGCCGACATCTCCGCCGTGCTGCCAACTGGCGCGCCCGAGGTTGACCCGAGGACGCACCGCCTCAAGAAGCCGGCGCCGCCCGTGCCACCCGGCGCGCCCCCGGTGCTTCCGATCTGGGACGCCATGGCCCCCGGCCCATCCATCGCGCCGGCGCCTGCCCCTGGACCGGGCTCCGGGAAGCACCACTTCGACGGCCACAGCCAGGTGAAGGACTTCATCCAGACCCTCCTCCTGTACGGCGGCTACAACGAGCTCGCCGACATCCTCGTCAACCTCACCTCGCTCGCCACCGAGATGGGCCGGCTCGTCTCCGAGGGGTACGTGCTCACCGTGCTCGCGCCCAACGACGAGGCCATGGCGCGCCTCACCACCGACCAGCTCAGCGAGCCCGGCTCGCCGGAGAACATCCTGTACTACCACATGATCCCGGAGTACCAGACCGAGGAGAGCATGTACAACGCGGTGCGGCGGTTCGGCAAGGTGCGCTACGACACGCTGCGGCTGCCGCACAAGGTGGTGGCGCGCGAGGCCGACGGCTCAGTCAAGTTCGGCCATGGCGAGGGCTCGGCGTATCTCTTCGACCCGGACATCTACACGGATGGCAGGATCGCAGTGCAGGGCATTGACGCCGTGCTGTTCCCGCCGGATGACACCAAGACGGCGCCGGACACGGCGCCGGTCAGGAGGGCGCCCGCCGTCACCGGCACTCGCAAGAAGAACAAACTCCGGAGAGGTCAGCCATTCTCTTCAGATCTGAACTTGCATTTTCTACTCAATTATTAATCGTGCAAATCCGCCATAGAAATTTACAGTTCACAACCTAGATTGGGGAGGTTAGGAGATGATTTTGTTTATGCAATTGCTTAAGTCAATGCGGGTTGATGCTAGTAATGTTGCCAGTGTGAGGGTTTACTCTTCACCGGTAGGAACAGGTAAGTGCTACCGGTAAGTGTTCTGATCGTAGCGGCGGGGATTAATTAATTAATCGATTGGTGGGTGGTGTGTACTGGGCGGAATAAAGACGAAGGCTTAGGCATAAAATAGAAGCAATTAGGGTTATTGCCGTTCTGAATGGCATATGGCCTGTCGGTGCCCGTTTGGGCACTTGCTACTATGTGGTCAGTAATACTACCAAAGTTGCAGTCATTCTCTTTGGTGTCTATGCACTTATACATTTTATTCAGGCCATTACACATAGCTGGCTGGTCTGTGATATTAGCACTGGATTGTGTACTGAAACATTAGAATTGTGCGTGTGCTGGTGGGTTACTGTCTTTACCATCTCTTGATACTGTACCTGGGACTGCAAGCAAGAATTGTGCTCTGCCCGTGACACATGAGCAACAGCTTTTCTTTCCCCCAAAGCATCAAAAGGCTCATGCTTAAGCCTTTGCCACATCTTGTTACTAGAGTTTGGTGGAATGGTAGTAGCCTGATTGGATTGGTTATGGGTTGAGGGATGGCAATTGCTAAACTGTGTGCCTTTGTATGCGAATGCTGCTGATGTTAGAGCGAGCTATTTTTGGACTATGATTGGTGAAAACAAAGACAGAAGTAGAAAACCTACATATGTATGTTAAAGATAAAATTTTGTCTTAGATGTATTTTTCTATGATCTAGGTCATATATAGATAGTTAAGATCAATCTAAATCCCCTCGATTTTCCTAGACCTGTGCTCAAAAAGTATGCCAAGCATCTATAAGTTGTCATGATCTGAAGAAAACTTATGTTGATTTTAATCTCAAGAATTAGATGATAGTGAGCAGCAATATATATACTGCTCCATAGAAATGGTTGGGTGGCCACGGATTGTGGATTCGTGAGTAAGATAAACTACCCTGGTGCCTGTGAACCTTGATCACTTGGTGATATTCCTTTTGTTGATTAGTTCATTTAGGTGTGCAACGTGGTGTGATGCTGATTATAGAACTATATGGCAGTATATTTCTTGGGTATTCATGACCTAAATTTTCAGTTGTCTTGTGATTTCGACATTAGATATTGCTATTGCCTGGTCTAGATTATTTGAGCTTATTGCTTACTACTTGTATCCTTTGAGTCCAAGCTACATGAAGCCATTGCCACATCTTGAGAACAACAAAAATGCCAAAAATTTTATAGGCACCCAATGTTGAATTGACAGGGTATCTAATGATACATAATCTAACATTAATCGTCTGACTCCCCAGCCTCATATTCTTCTAGCTTTTTTTCCCTTCAGTATAACACCAGTGTCGTTATGTGTTAATCACACATTGATAATAATAATCTTATGCTTTGTTCATTTTAAAATACTGCAGGCAAGTTGTTAGAAGCAACGTGCCAAATGGCTGGCATCCTTGGTCAGCGATTGCGATTCGCAAGCTGCCAGTAGACGGCGAAAGATTGATCTCATGATACCGAAACACGAACTAGAATGAGGTGATGGACTGTGCTGGAGCCGTCCACATTACCATTTGTTTTTTTTTATTTTTATTTTTGTTTATTATTACGAATAATAAATCAGGTGGGGAATGTAATCTGGTGGCTGTTGGTGTCTGAAAAAAAAAAAGGCAGGAAAATGTTCATACTTGAAGACCGAGATCTTCTGTGTATAGGAGCGTTTTTTTTTATATTTTTTTCCGTCATTTTTTCTTCTTTTTCTGTTTTGACAGAATGCCGAGTAAACAATTAAACATCACAGCATCCTTGGTGTTAAAGCTAGTAGTAATCAATTCTGCATCTTCTATAGATCTAATCATTTATGCGAATCTTATTCTCTGAAGATTATTAGGCTATGATTTGTCATTTGGACGTACAGGCCTGCATTATTCGTTCGGGACAGCGGACTAATCAGCGTGAGAACATGAATACACGATGTACCTGCTGAACTATAAACTATAGATGCTCCAACTAAGAAGCAACGACGTCGTTATTAATGAAATAAAGTGACAGCTAATGTGAATCGTCTTCGCCTAAGAGCACCCGCAATGATAAAGTAAGGTGCTCTCTATAAAATATAAAACATGTACATCTCAGCAATAGACTAGATTAATAGTAAACCACCTCAATAGTATGTCTACATGGGTATCTATAGCTCTCTAATCTATTGCTTCGTTTTTCTCTATAGACTATCTCCAGTTTAGTAGATAGCTTTGCTCTCTCTCTTCATTTAATCTTTTTCAAGTAGGAAAATATGCTGACATATATATCTTATACAGAGCCTATAGATAACCATTGCGGGTGTCCTATTACCACAGCATCTCTACTACTCCCTCCGTCCAAAAGAAAAAGACAAACCCTGGGTTTCCGTATCCAATGTTTGACAAAAGAAAAAGACAAACCCTGTGTTTCTGTATCCAATGTTTGAATGTCCGTCTTATATGGAATTTTTTTATAATTAGTATTTTCATTATTTAATACTTTATACGTGTTGTCTTTTTAATTTTTTTCATAATTTTTTAAATAAAACGGACGGACAAACGTTGGACACGGAAACTCAGGTTTTGTTTTTTTTGGACGGAGGGAGTAGTGGCCTACTACAACTTATATGAGGTTGCAGGTTGCTATAATACTGTACTAGCAAGGAAGCATAACTTGCCCACCACTGCATCAGGTGATCGCCTTGTAGTGGTAGATTCATCTTCAGAGAGTTACAGTAAACGCTAAACACTACTACAACGTGCAGAAGGTCAGAGTCTGGTGGTGGTCCCGGCAGGACGTGCAGCGCAACGGGTACTAGTCGTAGCAGTCCAGTAGTATCTCTGCATCTGCGCCCGTGGGCGGGCGGATTGATGGGCAAAGCGACAGTGCCACGGCCTCCGAAACCAACGTGCCGCTCCGCTGGGAGAAAGAAGTGGAAGTAATAACCCAGGAAGGACAAAAAACGGCTTCATTTCACGTGTCTGCCCTTGTCCCCCACACGGCGTTTGCCCTCGCGATCGGAGCTCCGTTTTATTACGAGCGATTGCGCGCTTTGCAGCACACGCCGCGCGGTTGGACGGTACAGCGCGTTCGTCCGCTCCGCCCGCCGAAAACACGGTAGCACACGGCGAAATCACGCACCAGAATGGCATCGCGCGCAGGGGATCGAGGGGGCCAAGGATTATCACATGAACGACGGTGGCGGCGAGGAACGAAAAACCTCTCTTGTATTTTTAACGTCAGAAGAAAACAATCGAACCAATGACCCAAGAGTGACCCACCCCCCTCTACGCCTGTACGTACACGCACATCTCCTCCAGCCATTTTTTTCCCCGTTTCGAAATTACCAGCCCTATGGAAGACAACATATCGATCTCGTTGTCGTCGCCTCTACAAGTGTGTGACTGACTCTAGTGGCTGTTTCTCAAGACATCCTCAAGGCCTCCCTGAAGCCGATGCTGAAACTGTTCTGCAGCCCGCCGGACTTCTTCGCCGGGAGCCCCATCGTCGGCTTCTGCATCATCGCCACGAACTCGTTGTAATCTATGCGACCATCCTGCAAACACAAGGCACGAAAAAGAACAGCGAAAGTTCCGTCAGATCAAGCATTTCAGGCAATGTGATTAGCTAGCTTCGATCAGAATGGAATGGAAAAGTAGGTTCTTTTTTTTTTTTACTGACGTTGTCTTCGTCGACTTCTCTGATCATCTCCTCGAGCTGAACGTCTCCCAAGCCGAACTCCTCGCAGGCGAGCTGCAGCTCATCGGCCGTGATGTAGCCGCTGCCGTCCTTGTCGAAGTATTGGAACGCCGCGAACAGGTGATCCTCCCGCTCGATCTTGTTCATATGCAGAGTTGCAGCGATGAACTCACCGTAATCTATCGTGCCGCTGTTATCTACATCTGCCTGTAATAATACCATTTCAGAATTCAGATACAAATGCAATTTTGATGTTTTCGACCAGTAGAGACCACCGTAAAAGTACTCGACGGAATTGGTAGATTGCTTAAGAACTTACGGCTTGCATGAGTGCGTAGATCTCGGATTCTTGGAGGTTAGCACCGACTTTTTTCAGACCAACCTTGAGTTCTTCGAAGGTGATCTGTCCACTGTTGTCTGTGTCGATCATCTTGAACATTTCTTTCAGGCCGGCGATTTCGTCTTCAGATAGGTTCTCTGCAATGACCTGGAATCAACAAAGGTATCAGGACATGCAGGTAAGTATGATTGAACCATTCAAGATGAACAACATTCTCCAACTAATACAACATTGGATACTTATTTTTTAAAATGATTATGTACTGTATCTTGCATGAGCTAAACTCCAAACAGATTTTCCTTTGGTGCATGAGGACAAAAGGCCAACGACAAGATGGTGCTATCCTAATATTGGGAAAATATTTCATAGAGAAATCAGAAATATAGTAACAATTTGTGTCCAAGTCATACTTACCCTAAGAGCCATCTTTTTCAGCTTATTCATAGCTGAGAATTGCTTCATACGAGATAGAACAGCAGAATCCAGGGGCTTGTCAGGAGCCAAACCACCAACCTGGACCCATGGATGCCCTGAAAAGATGATAATGCCAAGTAAATCAGACTGCACTGTTCATGGCCTGCAGCCCTGCACTACTAAAATAGCTAGAAAAATACATTTAGGAATATATCATGAAAATTAATCAAGTAACTTACTTAAAACTTCATGAGCTGTCAATCTCTTCTTCGGGTCCCTAACAAGCATTCTCCTTACGAGATCTTTGGCACCTTCAGAGATGCTAGGCCATGGTTCTGACTGAAAGTCAAGTCTACCATGCAAAACCTCTTCAAATATACCCTGCTCGTTCTCTGATTCACAACAATGGAGAGCTTAATTAGTACAAGAGTTCGGATCAAAATACATCACATTTTGTCACGAAAGTTAGTATAATTGTTTTGTGATTGACTGAAAAATCAGCAAAATTCTTACCTGCCCAAAATGGCGGCACACCACACAACAAGATGTAAATTATCACACCAGCGCTCCAGACATCTGCCTCTTGACCATATTTCTTTTTCAGAACTTCTGGCGCGACATAGTAAGGGCTACCAACAACATCAGTGAATACTTGACCTGGAATAAGAATGGCATATGAGTAGAAACCCAATGGAGAATGAATTCATCTGAATGATATGGTAGCAGACTGCAGAATGGTAAAGATATGCAGCCAAACTTTTTGCAGAACTTATGCAGAAACAAATGGTGTTGAAAACTTTGAAATGTAGGTAAAGGAAATTAAGTTCTGAAGCATAAAATCTCACAGCAGTATTAGTACTATCATAAGCACAATAATGCAGTTGTCCCAAAAACAAATGCTGAAACTCAAGAACTTCAGATTCACTAAAGATCAAATCAGTACATGAAAGATTAGGCCATATTCATTCTCTACTTATCCATAGATGCAGTGTGATTTCTTGAATGGATTGGAAATCTTGTTTGTTATAACAGTTATAGATACTAAATTCAATGCGCCATTCTGGAAAAGAAAAAAGGAAAAGAAAATGTGATTCGCTCACCTGGGCGAAAGAAAATGGAGAGACCAAAGTCAATGGTCTTGAGAGCGGCCTCCTCCGTCTGGTCGGCGAAGAGGAAGTTCTCGGGCTTGAGATCACGGTGCATCACGCCCATGGAGTGGCACACCTCGACGACGCCGACGATGACCCTGGCGAGCTCCGCCGCCTTCCGCTCGGTGTAGTGCCCCTTCTGGACGATCCGGTCGAACAGCTCGCCGCCGGCGCAGAGCTCCATGACGAGGTGCACGGCGACGGCGTCCTCGTAGGCGCCCCTGATGGAGATCACGTTGGGGTGGCCGGCGAGGTGGTACATTATCTGGATCTCGCGGCGGACGTCCTCGACGTCGTCGTCGGTGACCAGCTTCCGCTTCAGGATGGACTTGCAGGCGAACTCCTTGCCGGTGGCGCGCTCCACGCACAGGTACGTCGTCCCGAACTGCCCCTGCCCGAGCTTCCGCCCCAGGCTGTACTTGTCCTTGAGACTCTCCGTCTTGCGCTTCAGCACCGAGCCGACGAGCAGCCCGGCGCTGGAGACGCGCTTCACCGGCGGCACCCTCGGCCGCGGCCTGGCGGCCTCGCCGGAGTCCGAGCCGGCGCTCGACTTGGAGGCGTCCTGCTCGGCGGAGGCGGTGTCCGTGGTCGAGACGATCTTGACGTGCTCGGGGGGCTTGTTTTGGACGGCGAGCGGCGCGTCGGAAGTCGGCGGCGGCGGCGCCGGCAACCGGCCCTGGCCGCCGCCGTCAGGGGCGCCATTGGCGCCGGGCAGCGCGTCGTCGCCGTCCTGGCGCGCCTTCCAGAGCACCGTGGAGACGGACTGGAAGAAGCCGTTCTTGCTGATGCTGGGGCCGACGCACGTGTTCCCCATTGCCGCCGCTCCGAATCTTTCTCGGACACCACGCCTCGATCCAACAAACACCTTCGGATTACGCCGCGAATGTCTCTCCCTCCGCGCGGCGAAGCGCAACCGCGCCAAGAGACGATCTCCCCTCCCGCTCGGAGTAATCACCGATCACCCCCGGATCACGCGACCAAATCAGAATCGGCGATCGAACGCGATGCACCCATCGAAGTCAACGCTAAGCTCTCAGCACAACCGAGATCGTTCGCAAATTACAATCTCAAAAACTCAAAATCGCAATGCGGAGATGGCAGATTGGGGGCAGGAGCTAGCTGCTAACTACGCATCAAGGATCACGCATTCACGCTAGCTCTAGTGCTTCTAGTAATGGAGCTGGGAGCGAGGCGGAATGGTTCAATGAGGACGAAAGGGTTGGTACGATGGACCACTTCTAGCTGCCGGCGGCAAGTGGAAGAAGAAGAAGCAGTCAAAGGCTAATTGCAAGAAACCAAGATCGCTCAAGGCTAAAGAGAGAACAAGAAACTCCCAATCCAACCAAATTAACACAAAGGCGAGCAGCTAGGGGTATACCACCAAGTACAAGAACCGATGGAAAGGAAGGATAAGAGGAGAAGAAACCTGTGACACCTAATGGAAAGAGTAAACAAGAACTACGTGACAGGGGGTACGAAGAGAGGAGAGGAGAAAGAAAGGAACAAAAAGAAATCCACGAGTAGGAGAGGTGGTTAAGGAAGGAGCAAATGATTTAGACAGGTTTTCATTTCCATGGATCATGCGGTGACTTGGACGTGGCACGGGAAGAAGGGGAAGGAAGAGGGCGCGAAGTGGGGGCGCCGAACGCGGCGCGGGGGGGGGGGGGGGGGGGGGGCGGGGTAGTTTTTTTTTTTTTGCGTACTCTTGTGTCGTGTTGTTTCCATGTTTCTTCTTCCTTGCCCAACTACTTGCCTAACGCGAATGTGATCGCGAAAAAAGAAATGGCAAATGCGAGAGCGTAGAAGGGGAAAGCGCGTGTGGCATGGTGGCCGACCAGGTCGTGCTCCTGTGCAAAAGTCCAAATCGCATCATCACCACCATCCAAGAAGCAGTGTAGGTAGAGAGGGAGAGAGCATCACTTCACACGCGGCAGGTGGCCGGTAACGTCCCAGTCACACAACGGCCTGCGACATGCAACGCTGATTCTACTAGTTGATTATGGTTTGTAAATTCAACGTTTGTGTTGATAGGTTTTCTGAAAGAACTGGTCAGGCACATTGGATAAAAAGAAGTCGTTTCTAATGGAGACAAGACAGCGTGGAGTTAGATATCACGGAACAGCTCATATAATACCACACTAAACAATAGAAGAAAACTAAACTACATTGAAATGTAAAGCACGCAGGATGTAAAACTCAGTGGGATTCGAAGATTGATAAACTAGGGAGATTCTATACTAGGGAGTTCTGGGCATGTCGGATGTAAACAAAAAGAACAAATACAACAGTGTACATTACACTCCGAGCCAAATATATCGGAGGCAAATAAGACAGCAGATGCGCAGGGAAAAGAGAACAAAATTACACCTCGGGATACACTTCTTTTTTGTTCTATTTTACACTCCAATAGCACAGGCATACAACAACATGCAATCCGGCTTTGCCAATGAAAGGAATAATTGAGTGGTAATACACTACTGACCTTGGGGTTTACAAGCCAGCCGGGTGATGCTGCGAAAACTGTGCTGACGCTGGAAAATTTGTATGACCATACGAACCATGGTCGTAGTCCCGCTCTGATGATCACGACATGTTGCCAGGCAGATCCAAAATGGCACCATGAAATGCACATTTGAACAGAGCGTCTTATCTTTTCTTTGGGTTCCTTTTGACCTTGATCACCCTTCTGCTAGATTTGTCGCCGCCTCCGCCACCACTTCCCAAAGAGAAGTTCCCACCCTGAAACTCTAGGCTACCACCGGCAGGCGGGAATGCCGCATTCTGCTGCATGGAACCTTGTTGGCCCCCGAACTGGAAAACTCCGGCGGACGGGACTGCTGGAGCACCAAATACTGGAGCAGCGGGTGAACTAGCAGGCTGCCCAAATGGTGAGGAACCAAATATCGGTGCTGGTGCTGGTGCTGCTTGGTTAGTGTCATCTGCCATGCTGTCTTCGACATTCATCTGATCATTTCCAGGAGATCCCATGCCGAAGGATGTGTTGGCATTTGTCATCCCAAAAGCAGGCTGCGGAGTAGATGAATTCATGCTTGCTGAGGTAAATGAAAAAACTGGAGCTTGTGAGGAGAAAGCTGGAGATGACTGTGCTCCAAATGAAAAACCTCCTCCTGAAGAAGCCGATTGGCCAAATGTAAACATGCTGGGAGGTGATGAACTTGAACCGAATGGGTTACTGAAAGCAGGGGATGATGAAGCCGTAGAACTGGTGCTGAACATACTTGTGCTGGCCATAGTTAAAGATGACCCAGCAGAAGAGCTAGGAGATGAAAATGCGAATCCACTTCCAGGGCCAGAGAAAGTAGTTCCTGATCCAAATGGTGAATTACCAAACAAAGACCCGGATGAGGAAGTTGTCACTCCAAAAGACACAGTTCCAGGCCCAGACGAGGTTCCAGCTCCAAAAGACACAGTTCCAGGCCCAGATGAGGAGGTTCCTGCTCCTGCTCCAAAAGATAAAGCCCCAGTTCCAGATGAGGAAGCTCCCGCTCCGAAAGGCAGAGCCCCAGTTCCAGATGAGGAAGCCCCCGCTCCAAATAACAGAGCACCAGTTCCAGATGAGGAAGCTCCTAATCCGAAAGACACTGTGCTAGGCCAAGATGAGGATGCTCCGGTTCCAAAAGATGTGATCCCAGAACCAGTTGAGGCTGTTCCTACTCCGAAAGCTACAGATCCAGACCCAGACGAGGAAGCTCCTGTGGTAGTGGTCACAGTTTGAAACGGTGAACTAAACTGAACAGGTGAACTCTTCGATGGCTGCGACATTGTGCCCTCTGACTGTGGCAGTTTGCTACCAAAGATCGTGCTGGTGGCAGATGGTTGGGTGGTACTGCCATCAACAGATGTACTGAAACCAGCAGGTTGAGCTGGGGAATTGAACCCAAAAGTGTTGTTTCCTGAGCTCGAAAATGTAAAAGGTGCTGTTGAGGCAGAAGTAGTTGAGGCAATTCCATCATTTGAAGCTGCAACCATAGAAGATGAAAATGTTGCTATGCTTGAGAAAGCAGAAGAGGATGTGACTGGAGAACTTGAAATATTTGAAGAAATAGGAGTGGTACTTAGATTTGATGATGCCTTGTTGGCTGTATCCTGGGCAGTAGATTTGGCTTCAGCTATAGCATCCCCAGTACCGAACAATAAACTGCTAGCTGGCTTTGCCACTGTATTTGTACTATCTGATTTAGTTGCTGCCACCATTGAAGTGCTTGAACCAAAATTGAATGTCGGAATTGCAGGGATTGGAGATGAAACAGGTGGGCTGGTACTGGATGGAGCAAATGTGGTCGATACAGTGGATGGAGCCAAGCTAACTTCAGGCTTATCAATTGGTGTTACATTTGATAACTTTGATGATGATGGCAGTGAGAAACCATTGCTCAGGCTTGCTGTAGTTGATGCAGCAGATGCAAAGTGGAAAGGAGCAGCCGAGGGTAATACCTTATCTGATGATTTATGGACATCTTCTGTTCTTTCTCTTTCATTACCTCCCTCCAAATTAGTGATGTCCAATGTTGTGGGCTTGGTGACACTAGAAACATAAATAGCAGAAAACATAAGCGGTTACTCCATAGATAGAAAGCAATTCTACACTACAAAAGGGATATCCTATTTTAAAGCCCTGTTATGTTATTTTCCAAAAAATTCCTCCAAACAGCAAATAAGTAATCAAAGATTGAAAAAAAAAAGGAATATCCTGATAGGCTGTACATGCATTTCAATTACATATTTACGATCCATCCTACTAAAATAACCCTTGGAATAAAATGTACCATCTCTTAACATGTATATACAAATTATGACCGAGTTAAACAAGAGTACTGTACAGGATCTTCAGCCTTTACATACATGTCATGTCATTGTGAGAAAAAAAACCATAAGGGACTTCTCAAGTCAATAGCTAGAATGAACATTCTTTTTAGTAGGTTATGTGTTAGTAACAAATGAATTTGCAAGCACTTGAAGAAAAACGAATTTGCAAATACTGGGTTGTCTTTGTTTTATAGTTTTTACTCTTCCTCCTTCCAGAAGATGACCAGTGCAAACAATTAATAAGGAGAAAAAGGGAAATAGGGAGTGCCAAGAAAATCACCTCTCCCCAAGTCTTGCTTCTGTTTTTACATCAGCAGTGTTTGTTTGTTCTGAATCTGGTGTACTGGACTGCTTGAGACCAAATATAGAAGATGATGCACTGATCAGCTTATCGTCTTTATTTGAAGCAAGTGGCAATTGTGACACAGAACTCTCCAGAAGGGTGCCAGAAGGTACATGTGGAAATTTGAAACCATTGTTGTTGTCTGAAGGAACATCATGAGTAGCCCTGTTTTCAGGGTCATTAGGTGAAAATAAGCCTAATGGACGGGCATCTTTCAATGCGGATGCTATAGGCTTTTCACTAACTGGAGAACTGACAGCCTTCTGCACTGAATTTGACTCAACTTTTTGTTTGAATAAAATTGGTTCAACTTTCTGCTCCTTCTTCAGATCAATTTTTTTATCAGTTGTCTTCACCTCAGTCTTGCCCATTGAATTTTTCGATGGGATAGGAGCCTCCTGGTCATCATCAAACTCTGGTAGATCCTGCAACAAAAAAAGGTGATAAAGAATAATCTCAGGACATGAGTGAGCGTTTAATATAATTCGAGGAACCAAGAGTAAACTTTCCCCATACCTCAAAAACAGCCATTTTAAAGCCCGGTTTGCTTGATGTAGTAGCGGCAACTGAAGATAGAGCAACATTATCAGACCTAATGTCTTTGTTGCCTAAATCCTTAAATGAATGTGACAGAAGTTTTGATGATCCATCTTTTCTCAGCTTGTCTTTACTCGATGGTGAACCATTCAGTTCTGGATCAAGGGAATGCTTAACACTATCCATAGGTTGAAATTTCTGGGAACTACTAGGGTCACTCGTCCCGTTTGGCTCATTGCCTTGCCTAACAGGTTGTTTTGACATGGAGCAACTTGCATTCCCAGCAGCAAATTGTGGAAGAGACAGCTTCTCTTTTGGTGATGGGACTATTATATTAAGCTGCTCAAATATCTTTTCAGCCATCTTGTTTGATTGAGGTGACGCAGCAAGAACATTATCACTTGAAATTTTACCATCTTCATCATTCCTACGTGCTTCTGCAGGTTCCACAGATTGACCCGTCCCCAGCAATAGTCTTTTCGAACTAGGTGAATCCCGAATGGGTGAACCGCCATCGGTCAAATCTGAACCAATTGTACGGCTGGGAAGAAAGTTTCCTCGCGGGCTCGAGCGAGCATCTCTAAAAGTAGACATCATATTTGACTTTTGGCGAATCCTGCGTATGGGACCAATAGATCCAAGCTCATTCTCCAATTCGGCACCTCTTCGTTTCAAGACCTGTTAGGGAGACATAGGAATAAGAGAAGCTCTGGTATGTCTAGTTTAGATCATATATCATGGAGAATGTTCTCAGTGGTGCAAACCCTGCAAGTCTAAAGATGTTGCCACGACACAACACACTATCAAGTCCATGATGACCAGCACTTTATACCACATATATGCTTTGCATTTGCAACGATACAGACATATATAAGAAAAAGAAAAGAACCTCAATAGCTAGACAGTTTATTCAACCGTAACACCTTCTCAGTAACATGAACTTGTTCAACTAAGTGTATAGCAAATTTAAAATATATACTGTATATAATGCAGTATATGTTTCCATAAAGTGCTAATAAATTACCTGCCTGCAGCCAGAAACCAAACTATTAGCCCGTGTCTGAGATGATGAAAATGGTGACATATTTATATCATTGGAAGAGCTTGGTCCCTGTGAGATCATTGTTAGAGCATCATTATACTGAACAAGAAAAAAATTCGAGCGCCAGTAATCAGTATGGCATGTTGAGAACACATGAAAACATGGCTGAGAATGATTTGACATTATGTGCAGTAAACACAATACCTTAAAGAATGGGGAACAGGACATTCTATATATTGCTGACCGCCCATGTAATCCTGGAGTTACATAGCCATTCACAGGAAGCTCAGAGTTTTCATTGCTAAATTGACTCAGTTCTTGCACAAATGGTCCTCCAGGTCTCCTTCTATCATAGGCAATGTTGCTTGCTTCTGCCTTGTTCTTCAGGAGTACTTGGCTCCGCAAACTGTTTGGTCGGTTTTCTTTCGAATAACGGGAATTCATATATTGCTTTGCGAGCTCTGCGGGTGAACTAGCACCACAAACCGGATCCTACAAAATAAACAGAAATAAAATTAAACACAGACTAAAGTTCCAAAGGAAGTTGAATAAAAGGACACACTTGCTTGCTTTTTTCCTAAATAAAAACACTGAAAAACCTAAGTAGCAAAGCTGCAATATGGTAGTTGGATGGAGCATGGAAACGAAAGGTAAAATCCACTGCCTTTTATGCATGTAACATGGGAATTTGTAGGAATTGAATCCAACAATCATATGGCATACCAACACTGCAAAAAGGGCCGTTTAGCTGCACATATCCTATATAGCTAGCACTTAAACATATTAAAAGGTCAGTAAAGAGCTTTGATGCACAATCAAGCCTAAAAAAAATGACAGATCCAACAAATCCAAATCAGCATTTCTCAGCAATTAATGCAGCATCTAACATGTGTGCACCCGAAAAATATTTTTGCACTCACGAGTTCAAGTAACAAGAAGGCTACTTTAGGAACTACAGCCTACCTTGCATTAAAAGAATCAGACAATAAAAGGATTAAAAGAATCAGACAATAAAAGGAGCTTCCATAATGGGAAGATGGCAAAAAGGGTAATACAGTATATCAGTTGGCATTAGAAACAAACCAAACCAGCAGACTACAGATGCCTCAGTACCAACAACATAAACTTTCAGTGTTTGCCAGGTATGATTAAATTTTCTTTGTTGGCTCGAGGAGATTTATCCAATATCCAGAATTCATGGACTAGCATTTAGAATAAAAAATATTCATGACCAAAAGAACTACTTACATCAGCAGCAATAGAATGATCTGCAGCCATCCCATGTGATGTGGAGCCTCCTATACCATCCATTGTATTCCTTGCTTCATTCTTATTATCAAGGTTATCTGCCGGTGCAGACAAATCAGACTCCACAGTTCTTGCACGCAGTAAGTCTGTAAGGCGGTCAAACTCAACCCTGCTGATACAAAATCACATTGTCATTGGCAGCTTAAAAAGCACGGGACAGAAGAGATGCTGTCGTTTAGAATTTTAAGAGGACCCCCAAAAAGTTGACACCAGCAAAAAAGGAAAGAGAACAACAATGTTTGATCCTCCAACGATTGTCAACAGAAGAGTTGAACATCACAAAACCAATATAGCCATTACACTGGGGGTAAATCAACATTGTTTGATACCTCACTGGTTAACTAAAAAATCAGTTATCATGGAAGTACCACTTCAAGAAGATTAATATGAAAAATACTTTCCTTGTGAATGTTTTCCTCATTAACAAGTGCTCTACTTCAGACAATGCCTTATTGTCCGATGCACCAGTGGGGTTCTTCCCTTTCTCGAGGATTGGTTTTGAACCCTGCATCAGATTTTGTTATATAAATATAAAGGAATAAAGGGTAAAAAAACACCAAGCGGAATATAATAGGTTAACCAAAAGTATAAAGCACAATTTGCCAAACAATACAACCGATTTTTTTTTTTTGCAAGCACTTGGTTATAACTTACAGTTTGTGTTGACTCAGGTAAGCCTTGGTTTGGCTCATTATTGCTTCCTGCATGCATGAAGCGACTATAAAATTAGTAACGTACTGCAGCACCAAGCACAAAATTATCAATAGGTAATACTACAGGCAGACAAAATAAGACCATATCATACTGTATTCTTTCCATATGGTTTTAAATAAAAATAAAAAGACCGGATATTACACTGAATTAAGATTGTTTTAAGTGGCATAAATACATTCATCATACTACACTTGATGTTTTTACCTTGGAGCATCAAATCCTTCTAGTCTTTGGGACAGACAAGCAAATAGTACACTGCTATGGTTTTAAATAAGAGAATGGGACACTCTGGTATGATTTAAAGTTAAAACACACAAATAGGAGGTGATGAAACTCCACACTAAACTTCCATTGTAGAACAGCGTCATTTTCATCACGAGTCTACTGCTCCATATCAAGGAGGATAGCAATTTTATAGCTAAAATCAATCAGACTAGAAGTAGGAACCAGCTAATCTGAGCTAAACCCTAGAACGCCCTGGATGATTGAAACCCTAGCGCAAAGCTAACGAGCACGAACCGCGGGAGCAAGCACGAGTCTTCCCAGATGGGAGCGTACAGGAACCACAGGCTCACCGGGAGGCGTGGACTTCGGCGGGGCCGGAGCCGGCGCAGGGTCGAGGCGCTTGCGGAACACCGTCGAGAACAGCCGCGCCGCGCCACCGGCGATGAGGCGGGACGCCGGGTCCACCAGCCTCGACACCCACCCACCACCACCACCACCACCCTGCGGCGGGTACGCGTCCTCCGCCTCCGCCGCCGCCGCGGCCGCCGCGGCGGCGAGGCGGCGCGCGGCGGCCGCGGCCGGTGGGCGTTCGTAGGGGGTCGCGGCGGCGCGGGACGCCGGGCGGCGCCGGATCTTCCCCCCGACGCCTCCGTACGGGCTCGGCTCCATCCCCCCGCGGAGGCAGAGGCGGTGTCGCGGCGCGGCGCGGCGCGGAGGCGAGGAAGCGAGAGAGAGAGAGGAGGCGCGCGGCGCGGAGAGGGAGGCGGGTTGGAGAGGGGAAAGAGAGAGGAGGGGTGGAAGGCTAGGGCTCTCGCGACTCGCGAGGAGGCCCGTGTACCTCGCAGCCCTTCCCTTTTGGTGCTAGCCGTAGGCGCGGGGCGCGTGCTGACAACGAATACGTATTTCGTACGCCCGCCTTCGGTTTCCTCAAGCTTAACTAACCGCCGCCCCCGGTTAACGTTCGAGTTCGAGTCGGGGCCGGCTAGGCTAGAGCCGTTACGCCCCACCAGGATTTTAGCGGGAAATTATGTGTTACTATTAAGTCGTCTCATTTAAGACGGAGAAATTTGAAGAAATTTTATGTACGAAAATCCTGTAAAATTCATATGTTCGAGAAAAACACTATATTTGTAGCATGTGTAACACTCCATCCGTCCTAAAATATAAACAATTTTGTATTTTTTATGGTGATTAAGATGGTCTTGATTGGTCAAGTTAAAAAAAGTGCGTGTAAGATGGTTATAATTGGTTAAGATAATAAGACTGGTGGAGAAGTTATATTTTAAGATAAATTTTAGAGATTAAGATGGCTAGTTGTTGTACTTTAGGATAAATTTTTAAAAATAGAACCGGTTTTACCTTATCGATTACAATTATTAGCTATTAGCTAGTAGGAGTTATTGTTACGCGTTGAGAACCGTTATCGACAATTTTTGAAGAAATTTGTTATAGGTGCCCATTGATAACACCGGGTATCGCGATAACGCAAAAACCCTGATAAGAACACATAAGTCTCATAAGATTCCAAGCATGTATGCACTCGCATTCACAAATAGTGTCTGTGTTATATCCGACGTCCTTACATGTATAAAAAACAGGTCAAATATCCAGAGGTGACCTGTAAATGCCGAGTTGCATGAAACAAAAACCATTCGACGCACGCGGAGCGGTCTACCTAAAATTTGCTTGGTAGAGCTAATAAGCATGGGCAAGTGCATGCTCCACAACAACCGCATGTCCGCATCCACCATGATCAAACGGCTGCCGGTTTTGTGCTTGTGCATTAGGGTGATAATGGCTAGTCAGCAAGCAATAACCTTGTCTAGCTGATTGGGTTTAGTCCCAACCATGACAGGTGATCGACGCTGACAAGCCATCAAGGAAATGAAGCAATGGTCCCATTTCAATTCTTCCATGAAAGCGACCGGACTCCACAGCCAGAGCAGAGAGACAGATCAACGACAGGGCAATGTCCAATCAAGTATACTGAACATAAGCGGCAATTGACTATAGTTATTGCATAACACCAGAAGTAGTAAGATGTTCAACTCAGGGAGATTAAACCGGCTTTAGTGGAACATGTTGTGGTAGGACTATGGGAGTTCTGCAAGTACATTGCTGTGACTCCAGCTGAATTTAGATGAGAGCAAGAGGTGAAATGAACCCGATGCTGAACCCAAACGAGATGCAGGTCAGTTCCTTGTTGCCGTCATCTAGTAGCCTCATGGTGAGAGTGTAAGAACCCTGCAACACAATATTATGTTAGAATGTCATACAGAAAGTTAGAAGTCATATAAGGACATGTTCTCTATCCCCTCTTCTTGGGTAGTTAGGAAATTCATTAACAAAAGAATATCTTCTTCACCAACAGAACTAAAAGCATGCTGCAGCTATGCTTACTGGTGGGGTGATTGATGGTAAAGTCTGTTCGTGCGCAAGCACGAATTCACCAGTTACTGGGCAAGAGGTCTCCTCACAAAGGTTGTGACTTTCTGAATGGACATGGAAAAAGAAGTACTTGACATCTATCACGAGCTTCCCCTTAGTGATGCTTTTATCTGGCAGCAGTCATGAAAAAGTCCCCAGTCAGTACTCAAAGGCAAGAATCTACTGGCGTAAAACTTTATAGTAGTAGCTTTTAAAAATCAAATATCATCATAAGAAAAGTGAGCTAGGAAGCATATATTTGTAATGTATCTTTGTATTAATTGAATACTCATCATTAACTTCAAATTATATGCTATGTTTGCTTTCCTCAAACAAATTACTGAATGAATACAGCCTCAACAACTCCTCAATTTTGTTTGGCACATAATGTCATGAAATATGAGCAAAACTCAAATATTCCCTATAAAGAAAGAATCCACGCATCTACCGAAATATAGAAACAACACATGGGAAAAGACAGTGACAGCAGCTGTGCTGCCAGAGCTTCATACATTCAAATATCCAAGCCTATGTACTGTAGTCATGCTTAAGCCATACACACACTTGACAACCATACCAAGAACTTTTGATGAATCAGTACTTCACTGAGTGTTAAGTGAGCAGTGCCATGATACTTGTCATGCAACAAACAAAGTTAGTAAAATACACAAAAGTAACCGACATGTCAAGTGGAAAGAATGCACACAACTTTATCGACTTATTGTTGGTTGATCTTTTTCAACTATAAACGGAGGTATTCTAGCTTTCCTCACAAGTTATCTAAATTAAGTAGACAGAATAACAACTAGAAACTTCTAATGTGTCAAATAGTCCCAGAATATTAACGGTTAATGCTACACTATGTCTAATGAGATGAATAAGTATTATGATGTTTACAGAAAACACGTGTTAATACTTTTGTTTTACTTAGTATGAAGTGAGAGGCCGCATCATATTTGTATTGAGCAGGATGTTGGACAAACAATATAAAGCTAATTAAACTAAGCTAATTAAACTAGGTGGACGGAAATTCCCTTGTTCTGTTGCTGAATTTAGACTTGTAGCTCAAATGTACTCTACAGAAAGGGATGCTTCTTGAATAAAATCGAAACAGTTAGCTTATCCTTATTTGTAGAAATTCTCTCCCCTTTGCTATCAGAGCAATTTAAGCGGGATCACAATGAACACGTGTCATAACAGTGCACAGATGATGAACTCCAGGGCACCCAGTCATAGTAAGCTCAAACACGGGCATCAACAAACAAGGAATGGGCATGAAACTATGGCAAACTACACTAAATCCAGCATGCATATACAGATGCACGCATTGTCACAATTTGCAAGTTGCAACCAACAAACATTAGGTGCTCCATCTGCAAGTAGCATCGCAATGAAAAATGCCTTGTGAAGGGCAGTCTTAACAGAAACACCTGCAGGCTGCAGCGCAATATTTCCATGTTCTAAGTTTCTAACAGCCAGCAGTTTGTTCTTTACTTCCTTACAACAAAAATTCCATCGCATGGTTGTACTGTTCTGCAAATTGGACCAATTCAATAATGCCAGTGAATGGACAGCGCTACAAAACCCACACTAATTTGACTCCCGATCCGACTACTGCATATGCCCAGTAAATCCCCCAACCGCATGACCGCACTAAACTGCAACCCGCCGCAGTAACAGATCGGTGCTTGGTGCTTACCCGTGGATGCGGAGATCTTGAAGGTGGCCGGCTGCCCGCTGACGACGGGGTCAGGGACGATCTCCACTCCGCTCACCTTCACAGGATAATCCCGCCCCTGCCCTGCAGCAACAAACCCCACCCCACCAAAAGCGGAAACGTAAGCTTGACACGAGACGGGAGGCGAGCGAAGCTGCGGACGGGAAGGGCCTCGAAGCACTCACTGCAGTACTCGACGTCGGTGGCCGCGGCGGAGGCCGGGAGGAGGAGGAGGGTGAGCAGCGCCGCGGCGAGGAAGACGGGGAAGCGGCGGTGGTCGGTCGCCATCGCTGCAGGTGCCAAAGCTCCGCGTGTCGCGACTCGCGAGGACTAGAGGATTCGCAGGTGGACACGACGCGACGCGACGCGACGAGGACTCAAATCATCAGGTCTCAGGTGCGTGCTGAAATGCTGATGGATGCGGCCTTCTCATGCCTGCCTATGGGCCTTTTAATGGGCCTAGTTGCTCAGGTCTACTCCTTGCCTATTAATTCCTAGTATATACTTATGAAATTTTATCAGATGTAAATACAGTACAATCATATTATAACTGTATCGTAACTTGCATGTAAATGCAGTACAATTCGTAATTTGCAAAGCGGACGCCGTGGGACTAAATATCCTCACTCGTGTGTGCACTATGATTTTTTTTCTTCCCAACTTGCAACTATTATTTTTTTTCTTCCCAACTTGCATAGAAATTGAAGTAATCAAACTAATGGTTCAAGATTATGTAAAGGTAACATATAAGTTATAGTTATACAAGTTCGAATGTAATTGTACTGTAATTATACAGTATTTACATTTTCTTCATGGAACATCGGGGGGGAAGACCCCACCTGAATTGGATTAAAACAGTATTTACATTTGATAAATATTTGGAAGAAAATTTGTCAATATATATAGCAAAATAGTGTTCCCGACTTACAAAAAAAAAAGTTTTGTTTTAGTTCTTGGCTGCTAGTTTCTTGTTGATCTCTTTTATTTTATGATTACATGGAAGATACATATGCTTATATTGGTGACTCGTGAGTGTCTTCAATACACATGTAAGAAATGGAGACCACTGATGAATCTGTGATCTCACTGGAATTTACTAAACTGTATCTACATGTCCGTAATTCTTCGTGATCTCTTTCATTTTTCCTTGGATGAAAACTAAATCCCCTGAGCTAGATTTTAATTTACTAATATTTCCTATTAGTTTCTTGTTTGAGTTAGTTCGATCATAAAGAATGGAAGAGAAGACTGTACACCAACGTTCAATTGTTTAATGTGATGTTACTTGTATTTTTGTATACACTGGGCTAACTAGATTTTCCTTCCTTCAGACTGATTGCTATTTTTTTAATATGTTAGATCTTGGGATCAGTTGGTCATTGTGAGGGAACTTTGGAGTAAATGGAGTTAGTTTTGTATTTCTCTTCTCTTGCTTGATTGGCCAGCTTGAAGCTGAATTGGATCCCGAAGTCACATGGACCTGTACTAGAATAATACAATGCGAGTGCACTAGTGCTACTGTGCTAGATTATTTGTTAATTATGTTTTACTCTTAACTCACATGTCATGAAAGCTTGAAAGGGACTAAATGATCATTATCAACCAAAGCCCGGTGCCATTGATGCAGGAATTGACACCGACGAAGATTGTAAGGGCGACTAGGTGCTTTTTTGGAATACGCAAGGAGCGCATTTTGTATTAAGAGAAATAAAAGTTATTTACAGTCAAAAACAAAGCAGCAGGGGAGCGACTAGGTGCTTCATGAATCATGAACAAAAATAAGATGGCTTCTGCAGAGAGCTGTATGAATTATGCATTCTGAACCACTCTGTCTGACATAACCAGGCTGCAATATTTTTCCTACAGGGAATGGCAGGATTTCCACCTGATGCTTCGATTTTTTTTTAGAATTTATTTCGTTTGCAAAGATTTAGTTTGTAATCTGCATCACAACGTGCAGACATTCCTTTAAGCTCTTGTTCTCCATGTGATCAGAGATGAACCTGAAAATGATCACAATCACATTCTAATTTATTCAGATATTCACAATATATATTCGACTATTCCGGTCTTCCGGACCAAATCTTTGCAAATAGATCTGTCTGTTCAAATGATGTCATGGAGTTTGGTGTCCAGATTTTTGCCCATGCCTAATTGTCTATCATACCAAAGAGCGGCACAGTGAGTCTTTTATATCATAGAAAGACTCTGCAGTGTGCAACATAGCTGAAAATGATTCCATAGCTTCTGTGGCAGGACACTGCAGATGTGAAGGTAATTTGCCTAATTAAGTTCTCCTTTTCTTTTCCTAGAAATTGTAAAAGAAACATCTGTTGTTGTCACTTGTTAGCAGAAAAAGGCTTGATGTAGATACGTCTTGCACTCTTGCCTTGTTTAGGCCAAATTAGCATTTTTCACTTTTGCTCTCTTTTCTTGAAGAGCATGCATCATGATTGGTATATCCGTTACTTCAAAGCACAAAGTAATGATTTTGGCGTAAACTGATTGACCCAGCAAAAACCTGGGGGAAGGAGCAATGTATCTAGGGGACGGCCGTATATAGGTTGCTGATGTCATCATTTGATATGCACCTAGTAGATCTTTGAATTAATTCATCAAGAGTACAATGCATGAGTGTTTGAACTGAGGTTAATCTGTTTACTGCATTCCATATCCTCATCAACCTCAATTTCTAGATAATATGCAAGAGCATTAATTAAAAGGATCTATTCCTTTTGAAATGTGCATCTTCAATTTTACAGATATTCATGATAGAATTTTACATATATAAAGCATTCTGCAAATATGTTCCTACTTCTTACTTTGTTTACACTCATCTTCGTTCTTCTGCACTAAGCTTGATGATATAAAAATTAGATCTCTAGAAGGTTCATCCAAATTTGTAATCCATACATAATCTCCCTCCAAAAATCCAAAGTGAATCCTAATTCCAAAGAGAATCCTATGCCAAACTTTGTTTATATCAGAAAAGAAAATCTACTCTGAACCCAAATTTACACCCAATTACCAAGAGGAAATTTCTAGTCCCTATCTTGAGGAATTCTTTTATGCATTCCATTTTGCAGAATACACAAATTTCATCCTCAAGTTTAGTTTTATATGAATAAGAAAAAAATTTTAAAAAATGAAAACCAAGCAAAGAACCTCCACGTGTCATGACGGCCTCGCCATTGCCAGCGGCGTGACCTCGGCGAGCGGCGTCGGCAAGGGGCTCGGCAGCGGCGACGTCCGGCAGACGGGGCAGGTCGGATGCTGCCGGAGCCACGGGTCGACGCACTCCCGGTGGAACAGGTGGCCGCACTCCGGCAGCATCCGGAGCACGTCGCCGTCGCCGTAGTTGTCGAGGCAGATCGAGCAGCAGCTGCACGTGGTTGCGCCGCCCTTCTTCGTCGCCGCCGCCGACGCCGCCTTCGCCGCCTCCTTCCTCGGCTGGCCGTACACCACCTCCGGGTACCCCTTGAGCGTCGCCTCGTCGATGCCGAGCTCGACGTCGTCGTGTTCGTGCCCGGCCCCGCCGCCGCCGCCGCCGCCGCCCCCACCCCCACCGCGGTGCCGCCGCGACGATCCCGCCGCCGCCGCTGCATCGGCCGCGGTGACGGGCGCGCGCGTGCAGAAGTAGGACGCGAGCGTGATGGTGGTGATGAGGAGGAGGATCCCGACGGACACGCCGACGCCGTAGCCGAACCCGCCGATGCGGTCGGAGCTGAACATGCCGACGGAGTTGCCGTCGCCCGGCGTCATCATCCCCGGCGCCCCAGGCGGCGCGCCGCCGCCGCTCATCGCGATCGAGCTTGATCAAGCAATGGCGATCGACGCCGAGCCAGCGAGTTGGTGGTGTCGCCGCGCGCGCGCCGCGGCTGAGCTCGATGGTTTGGTGCGGTTTTTGTTTGGATCCAAAGCGAGGGAGGGGGAGGTTGCGAGTGCGACGTCAACGCTTTTGCATGTTGCAAACACACAACTTGGACAGAGAGAGAAGGAGACGATGAGGTTGTGCAATGGTTTCGAGGTCAATGGCATATGGGCATATGGCCATGGTTTTTTTTATTTTTGAAAAAAAGATTCAAATATGTTTAAAATAAGATGAGTTTGTGTGTGATTTGCTGTGGCTTTGTTTGTCCTTGCGTAGCTTACTATCTGTCGAATTGTTTGGTTTGTAATGGTCAATGCAATCATGTGTGTGTTTGGGATTTGACTTTGCTTCGACAGGTTGTATTTCTCTTACGGTTTTTATTATATTCCAAAGTCGTGTGAAGCATACCGGCCATTTTGAGGAGTTTCGAGTCCAGTTTCTGCATTGCAAGCCAAGGTTTTATTTCAGTTGCAATTATAGTAGTCCTTTCAGTGCCTTGAGAACAAGGAATTTCTCAAGGTGGCATGTGAAGTACTATTTTCACTTTTTTTTTTGGTGAACGGTACTACTCCTGCTTCACATTACAACGACTTTGATCTAAGGCTTGGCCTTGATCGCCCTCGACATCCTTCACGTCGATGTAACAAACTCCGTAATTGGCTATTTATTTTTTCCCCTCTCTTAATGAAATTGGTCAATCATCCTTTGGCCGGCCCAGAAAAAAAAAAAGAGACAACTTTGATCTAAGGCCTGGCCTTGATCGCCCTCGACATCCTTCATGTCGATGTAACAAACTTCGTAATTGGCTATTTATTTTTTTCCCCTCTCTTAATGAAATTGGTCGGCCATCCTTTGGCCGGCCCAGCAAAAAAAAAAAAGAAGAGATTTTCTTGCTTGACCTGTTTGCAAATCGTTGCTTCCTTTGCATTCTAGAAGAATAGAAGTCACCTCTTGTATTGTCCAAAAAATAGTTTGTTTACTTATGAATACTATAGCGAGCACTTCTTTACAACTGAATATCTGATTCATCGCTAAATAACATCTTTTTCGCCGGGTTGAGTGAAACCACAGATGCTTATAAATGGTTTTGATCAGATACAGCGTAAACATGGGCAAAGATACCGACTTCAAATTTAGCAGGTTTCAGAAGTGAAGTTCAATGACAGCTACATATATACAAAGTCATCCAAATTGACACGAGGTTTTGCTTCACACCTACTCAAATCAAGATCAAGAGAAATGGACTGCTACTGCAGCAACCTTATTCCATCTGACCAACCGACTGGTACTTGAGAGCCGAACAATGGTTGCTCAGAGACAGATGTGTTACATCCTTCTTCTTTTTCTTTTTTCTGAATCTTTCTCCTCTGTTCTGTCTCGATGCAGATTCTGAAAAATAAGTTGAACCGCCGGCTAGTCAGGATGGAAGGTCAACTGCCAGAAGTATATAGGCATCATTTTATTTTGGGTTAGGTTTGGTTGGGTTGAATCGAATATGGATAATGCATTACTTGAGCAGCCTGCCTCCAGTGATGCCTTCCCTAAATGCGCCCCCGTGTTTTGGATCAAGCAAAGAACACTCATGAAAAGGTAAAAAGAAAAAAAATAGTAGTCACTCTCTCTCATGAGTCATGACACAGAGGCACTGCATTTCCATGGATAGTTTGCTTGATGGTACAAGAGTGCTTTACTCGGGGGGTGTTTAGATCTAGGGTTGTAAAGTTTTGGCGTGTCACATCAGGTATTATATAGGGTGTCGCATAGAGTGTTCGGGCACTAATAAAAAAAACTAATTACAGAATCCGTCATTAAACCGCGAGACGAATTTATTAAGCCTAATTAATCTGTTATTAGCAAATGTTTACTTTAGTACCACATTGTCAAATCATGGAGTAATTAGGCTTAAAAGATTCGTCTCGTAAATTAGTCGCAAAGTATTTAATACTTCATGCATGTGTTCAAATGTTCAATGTGACAGGGTGAAAAATTTTAGGGAGGGATCTAAACAGGGCCTCAGTAGATTTTCAGCAAATTTAATTTAAAATTATTTATCGATTTTACAAGAACAATAGCACTAAAAAATTATGTAAACCATCCAAATTAATTATCGCTCTTGTTTTGATATTCCACCACATAACCTATTTTGTTGCAAAAGCCCACTCACTCAGCACTGCCAAGTCCATCCCCTTCACAAACATTTGATTCAACCCATTTCTTCTGACATGGATTCGCAGCGGACCATATCAGTGTGGATAGTTATATGGCTAGCTATGAGGTTAGTTTGACTCAAGCTCGTCCTTAGGTTAGTTGACTCTAACCCGATTTCACCTCACAACCACATTTTATGAGACGATATGGCTGATAAGTACCACTATAAATCCACGTATGAAGAAAAAGCCGAATAGATATTCATGTATGTAGAGAGGCAGAGATAATTTTGACGTGGCAATGTTGGTTGGATAGGCTTTTACAATAAAATAGGTATTTTGGGATGGGGGAGTAATTTGCTATGGCAAAATTGTTTCAAGCATTGAAACGATGTTTAGCTGTCTCCCAAGTCCCAACTTGTACACTACAAAGAAAACTCACGATAGGGCAGCAGCATATCAGAAACCATTTGATTGTTTAAGCAGCATTATATATAGAAACCATTTTATTGTTTACTCATATCGCCCGTCATCTTGTTGCAGATTCATAGCCGCATATATCAAAAACCATATGATTGTTTAAGCATATTTTAGAAACCATTTTATTGTTTACTCATATCGCCTGTCATCTTGTTGCAGATTCATTCAAGGCTGTCAACGACGATCGAGGGCGTGCCGATGTACCAGCGGCCATTCATGAAGGGGAAGCTAGCTAGCTCTACATCCACTTCTCCTTGGAAATCCCTGACTCGTTGAAACAAAATCTCTTTCTGCTCTTCCTCCTGTGTGGTGGTGCTGCGTTCTTGACTGCTGTGTGAGACATTGTTGCTTCCTTGAGATGACGAGCCGTATGCCGTAGCAGATGGCACCACGAATGGAGCTGTCAATGCGCAATTGACTCGGCCGTGTAAGCATCGCGTCTTGGCCCCCCGGTGTCGCGATCAGAATAGCAAAAGCGTTAAATTAGACTTGGCAAGTGAACTTATTCCTGTTCTATATATACTCCAATCGGAGCAGCTAGTCGGCCGGGACGGGTGGGGAGAACTAGGGTTTTACTGTTCCTCTTCGATCGATCATCACTCGCCTCGCCCATGTCAACGGCGGCGCTGGTGGCGCGGCTCGCCCGCGACGTATCGGCCGCGCGAGACGCCGCCCGCTTGGCCGCGGCCGCCGCATCCCGCGCCGCGCGCTCCTCGGCGGTCGCGTCGTCCAGTCCTTGCGCACGCTCGGCGGCCGTCGTCGCAGCACGTCGCGCGGCACGCTCAGCCGCCGCCGCCGCATCTCGCGCCGCGCGCGCGGTGTCACGCATCCCGTCTTATAACCTCGACGACTACAGCGACTACGAGCCAACTCCTGCTCCTCCCAGCCCATTGCCATCATGTAAGCCAATCCTCCCCCATCTTATTACGGGCCTTCTGATCCGATTGCCATAATCAGGTTAGGGGCATATTAGGCAGGATAACTTTAAGGAACCAAATTGAAACTTGCAAGCCAATTCGCTGTTCTTGACAGTATTAATGTTGTGCTGTTGTGATAGATGGTCCTGAGCCAGCTGACGATGAGACGGACAAGGATTTTGAGACTGATCTAGTTGACAGTGTGACGGACAAGGATTTTGAATCTGATGAAGCCATTTGGGCCTTCTATGAGCGCTGGTGCAAGGCTTACGATAAGGAGCGTGACCATGCTGAGATGGCTCACCGGTTCAAGATATTCAAGGAAACTGCAGAGCTTGTTCATAGATCCAACAAGGATGCTCCAGAAGAAGAGAAACTATGTTTTGGCCCATACTGCGATGGGTTCGATGAGCAACAGAGGGCTGAATTTCTGCTTAAGTTTGGCCATTTTCACGGGATTCACGAATTTGTAGAGCAGTGGAAGATCGACTTCCCAAAGCCGCGGAAGATTGACTCCCCAAATCAATCCCCATGAATCACCAAATCTATCCTAATACGGGTAGACGGACCAAGTTCTACTTCTCTATCTTTATCTTTATCTCAACTATTATAAAAAATAAAGATGTTTTTGTCGGTATTTTGGCACGTGATCCGTATTTGAGTCGGTTTTTAAGTTCGTTTGCTTTTGGAAATACAGTTCTGTGTTTGAGTCAGTTTTTAAGTTCGTTTATACTTCTAAAAATACAAAAGAAGTCGTATAAGAAATTTCTTTTAAAAAAATGCTAACTTGAAATGAAAGTCAAACTCCTAGAAAAATGCTAACTTGAGATGCTCGACGCCTTCGCCACCGCCAAACCCGCTGGCACGAGCAGGAGCACGGGCTAAGGATTGGAGAGAGGGGAGGAAGAAGAAAGAGGAGGAGAATGACAGGCGGAATCCATTGGTTAATAGAGTGGAATGTGAATAGTATGTTGGAATAGAAGATAAATTTGACTCTCTAAATTTTTATCAGCCTGGCAATATAGATATTTAGAGAGTCAAAAATAACCACTCCGTTAGAGGCATCTCTAACAGCCCACAAACAGCTAGGGTTGAGTTGAGGGAGCCTGGAGCGCTTCCACCTCCAGCATCTATTCCCTTCGTGCCCGATGCCCGCTTCCACGCCGCCACTGACCGCTGTCCGCGCCGGCGCCACGCCGCGTCCGCTGTTAGCGCCGGCGCAGCCCAGTGCCGAGCCACACCACAGCGCCGACGCCCGTGGGTCCGCCGTCCGCGCCATCGCGGCGCCGAGCTGGGGGCCGACGACGTTACAACTTCTCCTTGTATCGCCAGTCGCCGCCTTGCTGCGGGACGTCGGCCGGTTGCCGTCTTGTCGCAGAGCCGCCGCCCGCTGTCTCCCGTCTGGCGTGGCGTCTACCGGTGCCCGTCTCCAGCTCTCCGCTCCCGGCTGCTTCATAAATCGATTTGTGATTCATGAATCTGAGAATGATTGAGTATGCACTTTGTAAATTGTGGTTGTTGAATGTTGATTTTTATCGCATTTATATTAAATTTGTACTTGTGTATCGGTTTTTTGGTGTTAGAAAATTTTAGCATGTGTTGTGAACCTACGAACTGAACTTACCCAAGGAAAAAAATTCATGGCTACTACACTGGCAGTCAAGAACGCAGCATCACCACATAAGAGGAAGAGCAGAAAGAGATTTTGTTTCATGGACCAGTCGGCGCAGAAAGATTGCTATATATCCACTGCTCCAATTTTGTTCATCTACTGGTCCTCTTCGATGAAGCAGTAGTATCCATGAAACAAAATCGGAGCAGCAGAAAGATTGTTATATATCCACTGTTCCGTCTCGGCCGATACTACTGCATATTAATGATATATATATATATATACTCCAATCGGATCAGTCGGCCGGGACGGGTGGGGAGAACTAGGGTTTACCGTTCCTCTTCAATCGATTATCCCTCGCCCATGTCAACGGCGGCGCTGGTGGCGTCGCTCGCCCGCGACGTATCGGCCGCGCGAGCCGCCGCCCGCTTAGCTGCGGCCGCCGCATCCCGTGCCGCGCGCTCCTCGGCGGTCGCGTCGTCTAGTCCTTGTGCACGCTCGGTGTCGAAACAAGATTTCGGCAATAATAAAAGGGGGTGGCTATCAAGCTAGGAAAGTGAATGGGTTTGGAGAAAAAGAATTTTATACAGGTTTAGGCCTTCTTATTCAAGAAGTAATACCTTACTCCTGTCCGGGGATGATTCCGCCGAGTATGTTATTGATTGTATGATTGGGAGAAAAAAGAAATCGTCCCGAGAGGAACCCGGACCCCTCCTTATATAGGGGAAGGGATCCGTAATACAAAATACAGTCCATATCCTAACGGAATATGGGATTACAGATAAAATACAATCGTAACCGACTAGAATCCTGGGTATTTTCTTGACATACAAGTTTAGAATCTAACCCGAGTCCTCATAAAGATATTCTATCTATATTTGGTACCATATATCCAGCTGGAATATAACCGCCATGTAGATATGGGGTAACCATAATCTCCACAGTAGCCCCCGAGACCTTCGCAGTTGACCAAAATAGTCTTCTCGAAACAAAAAACAATAATCTGAGTGCTTCAATTCAACTTGCTCCGGCTTACCGAGTGCTAGAAGACTGTGAAGGGCGAAAATAAAACATGGTGCATCGAGTAGATGCACCTAATTAGGTGTAACCCCCGACTATGTGATTAGTTGAAAAATTAAACATATAGTCAAGAACCGAGTGATCTTATATCGAAGCATGCATGGTACTCAATAAAATACCCAGCCGACTGCTTCTCACTTGAATATATCAAGGACAAAAAATATGAAAAGGGCCGAGTGATAAACACTCAAAGGTCCAAAAATAGACATGTTTGATAGGAATCCGAGTAAGAATCTCATAAAATGACCCATCAAACATGATAGAAAATCATGGTAATTAATGAGTCTAATAGCCTAGGCTGTGACCCTTACCATAACCAAAATAAGCATATAACATGCTGGGAGAATGACTACTAACAAACCAGTCATCTCAAATTAACCCAACAGCTTTCGTAGCCTAAAAAAGCTTACAAAAATGGTATAATACCTTTATGTTGGGCACCTTTTCATGTGCATCATAATAATTCCAAAGAATTATTGAATCGCGTTAAAAAGGATTTCAACAGCATCGGGCCGCATCATTGTGAGCACATATTGCCAAAGCAAAAAGCGCCTAAGTCCCTAGGGATCACAACGGGCCACGCTGAAAACATAATTGGGCTGAAGTACTGTACAGGCCAGGGCCCATTAGTACTCCCGATACCCTAAAAACACCGAAGTCCAAACGTCGTTTCGTCTTCCCCGCTGAGACTCTCGCCATTTTCCCCATTTCCTGCTACAGTACAAAATTGCGCCGGGCAAACTAGGGTTCATCAATCCGCTCCAATCCACCCTTAAAAAACTTCACGAAATCTCTTCCCGCATCCACCGCTCCGATTCCCCATCCCTTTCCAGCCGTATCTCGAACTAAATCAAATCATCAGTTCTCATTCATGGCGGAAGAAAGAGAAAGCTTCGAGAGTCAGTGGGCGCCCTCCGATGTGACGGAAGACAATCTGAAGGAGATGGTGGCGCACGACGTTCTTCCAGCAAAAGAGATCATCGGGTGGCGACCGGCATTTGGTGAGGCATTCCCGACCCCCGATACACACGAAATCGTGGTATTTGCTCATTTCTTCTATGGCGGATTTTCTCTTCCAACCTCAAGATTTTTCCGGGGTATTCTGAACTTCTACGGGATTAGCTTGCATCATCTGAATCCAAATTCCATAGTGCATATTGCCAATTTTATCCATGCCTGCGAAGCTTTTCTGGGCATTAGGCCTCATTTCGCCTTATTCCGCCGCATTTTCTTCCTCAAGCCCCAGCCAAATAAGAGCAAACCATGCGTCGTTGGGGGTGCTGGTTTCCAACTCAGGGGAACACTAAGCCAAAAATACTTCTCCATGCCCTTCAAGACCTCAAATAAAGGCTGGCACGCAAACTGGTTTTATGTTCAAAACCCCGAGCCTGTTCTTCCCGAGTACTCCTGTCTTCCTCCAGTTTATCGGGATACTTGGAACTCACTGCTAATGGGAGACGAAGCTGCACAAGCAGTAGAACTGATGGAGAGGATGATAAAGCTAAAAGAACAGGGCCTTCAAGGAGAACAGATCACCCGGCACTTTATCAAATGTCGGTTAGCTCCAATCAAAGAAAGATCTCGCACAGCCTTCGAATTTGACGGCAAGCATGACCCAAACCGTGAAGATCCAGATTCTCTTGACTTCAAGGTCATGAAGGAAAGGATGTATAAGCTCTTCTCAAACGCCATCGTTGTCAGCTACTCACACTTGCTGCCAGTCGTACCGTTCAATGCATTCAATCCTCCTCCACCAGTACGTATTCATACACTTCAATCTTTCTCAAAATATGATCTTGTTTTCTTGTTGAATCAGCTAACAATGAAGGATATTACATCCAGGAATTTGCTTTGATGCAGTCGGATCCCCCAATCGCTCAACGCCGATCTCCCCACCACCAAACTGGGCAAGGGAGCGGAGGACCAAGAATTCGGTCTGAAACTCAACCTAGTGCTTCTGATCCAGTCGGCCAGTCAGATTATCGAAAGAGGAAGTTGGTTCTAAGTGACGACGAAGCCGATGATACCACCAGGAGGCCTGAAGACCGAGAGACGACCAAGAAACTACCAAAACAAGCTACTCCAAGGAAGAAAACATCCAGTCGCCATGTGCCAAAGATCAGGAAGTCTTCTAGGTGCAACTCATATAACGATCTCTCTTGTATTGATACGCACCCATTGCGGCAATAATACTGATAATCAAATTTGCAGGAAACCATCTGATATAGACCCGTCTGGAAAAGACTCTGACCCGACTAACATGGGCACGAATTCTTCCAAAGAAACCGGGCCAACTGTTGGGGATCACCCGAGTGACAATCATCCGGCAACTGATAATGTAGAATTCGGTGATCAACCCCCAACTGGAAACCAGTCGGCCGAAGCCGAAGCCGGAGTTAATCAGGAGCCCCCGACTGGAAACCAGTCGGACGCAGGGCCAAGCCAAGAGATTCTAGAAGTCGAAACCCAAGCAGACAGCCCTCGCAGACAAAACGCGGACAATAACCAGAGATCTGGATCTCCTTTAAAGGCATCCGAATCCGCTCGTCCTCGTCCAGAAATCATCACGGGTAAACACTTTGTCTGAAACCATGTTGACCCAAATAACTCTGATCGATTGTCTAACCTTTGTCAGTGAATACATTAGGACCAATGATTGGTGATGAAGAAGAAATCCCCCGTATACAAGCAGCTGAGGATTCATGCCCTCCGATTCTGGTCAAGTGGTGGGATGACAACATGCAGCCTCAAGGGATCGTGATAAATAAGCAAAAAGAGGACGAAGAGTTATGCCTACTGAAGAAGGCACTTGGTCAGGCAACCCGCATTGTAAATGTAAGCCCTCTGGTACCTGATTTCAACCATCTTGTTTGCCATTTAATTCACGCGCTAATTAAACTATCTTGCAGAGGATTCATCTTAGGAACGAAGCCAAAACAGTAACCTTAGAGAGGTTAGTCCCTCATCTCGGAACCCTCGAAGCCACCAGGAATCAACTGCACGAAGTGAAAGAACTTGCTAGGAAGAATGAACATGATCTGAGGGATCGGATCGCTGAGCTCCAGGAATCAAATTTTGAACTGAGTGGCTCATCAAAAGGTACGCACAAACTCTGCTCAACTGACTCATACTGTTATCTTTGCAATCTTGATTAACCGTGATCAATGTAGTGCAAGCTGCCAAGATATCTCAGTTGGAGAACCAGATTCAAATTCTGGAAAGTGACAAGGCAGAACTGGCAAGACAAAGAGACCTGGCTTTAAAGGAAGTTGAAGGTATCAACAATGAATACCTCAAAAGCCATTATCCTCCATATGCTAACTTATTAATGTGAATCTGTTGATGCAGACCGCAAGATCAATCTCAAGCTCAATTCGACGTCCTGGTTGGCAAGATCAAAAAACTCGAAGGAACCCGGGATGAGGTTGCTAACGCTGCTGCCCCAATTGTTCAAGCGATGTTCTTCAATAACAACGGCCCGAGTGTACTTGATGCTTCTGAAATTTTCGACAAGCTGAGAGTTGCTCCGGATACATATTTCAAGAACATCAAAGAAGCTGGAAGTATGGGAGCAAGTCTGGCGTTGGCGATGACCAAATCTCTTTATTCGAGGGTTGACGTTGATGCCATTGATGGCTTTGCAGACGGGACGAGCGAAGAAGCTGCTCTTGACCTCATCAGCAATGCACAAAAAGCCGCTGACAAGATTGCTGCTGATGTAGTTGAGAGATTTCAGGACACCGATCTTCGACCGACTGGTCCTGATAATTCTGATGATGAAAAGACTGATACTGATTACTGTACCAATGATTTTGAT